TGCGCGCACTTTGTTAAAATAATGAAACTCATGAGCGTGCATTTTTTTCTCTAAAATTTTTTTCCTTGTCATTTTGCAAGAGTTTATCGCAAATAAAGACCAATATTTAAGTAGATAAAATCATTTAGATGTAATCGATAATGAACTTATCATAAATCACGATAGCAGCGATGAAATCGAATTTTGCTCTAGTAGTTTTAGTTAGAAATATCATTGTTAAAAATTATTTTTATGCTTTAACAACGTAATAATTTGTTTATCATTCTTCATCTTGTGTATGAGTACCTACTTATGTTATTTTTTGAAAGAATAACAGTGGTTTTGAAATACATTTTATTACGACGCCTCTGGGCATTATTTTTTTTAATAGTAAACATACTTTTAGTGTCAAAATTCAATCATTTTTTTAGTTTTCTTAACAAAGTAACGCGCACAACTCCCAAATTTAATATTTTTTGTACTGTCACTACTCAAAACATCGTATTCGTATTCAACTTGATAATAACTAAAGAAAGTTTGGTGAAACTACACCTTTTTTAAGTGTTATTCAGAAAGCGTAAGATATATTTAAGAAAACATTAATTGTAATTCAGATTAGTCAATTGTATTTTAGAAAGTGTTAATTATAATTCAGAATTCGTTATTTTCATTTAAAAATTACATTACCAAAATTTCTTTGAAAATAAAATATCTCATTTATTTTGTAAAATACCAAATTTATGTAATTAAATTAAATAATTTATGTTTATGTGTAAACTTCATTTTGAGATCTGAATTACATTTGATATTTTCTGGATGTTACATGTAGTAACATGAAATTGAACTTGTTTACTGTTCTGAATTACATGTAATGGTTTCTGAATTACAATTATTACTTTATGAAATACAAATGACTAATCTGAATTCCAATTTATGCTTTCTGAAATTAAATTAACTATTCTGAATTACATCTCATGGTTTCTGAAACTCATTTTACTCTTCTGAATTACAATTAACACTTACTGAAAGACAATTGACTAGTCTAAATTACAATTTACTCTTTCTGAAACTAAATTGACTAATCTGAATTACATGTGGTGGTTTCTGAATTAGTAGTGAAACAAATTTTTATTTAATGAACAAAGAAAAAATATTGTTCGATTTATTTATCGTTGGTGAAACTGACAATAAGTACTGTATAAAATTTTGTGTGCCCCCAAGCTGCCGTCCCCAGTTTTATAATGTTAAATAGCACACTACCTATTTTTTCTAAAAAATTTGATTACCCAAATATCTCAGAAACTATAGAACAAATCTACCAAAAATAAAAAGCGATTTAAAGTAGTTGACATACTAATTCTGTAATTTTTTTAAATTCTTATCGCCCCGATCTGTTAAAGATTTATATTAGAAAGTTTTTGATATGGTGCAAAATTTTTTTGTGCAATGTCAATTCAATTTTATTTCTTAATTTTTTTATTTAAGAAAATTATCAGTACGCTATTCAAACTTCTCGCAGCAAAGCGAGTTGTGAATTTGAAAAAGTGGCCGCAATATAAAACTACTATCCTGTAAATTGAAAGAAAATGTTATCTTTAAAGTAGAGGAACACAAAAAAAAAATTTACTAACGAATAGAAACTATAGAGAAAACGTAATAACTAAAGACCGGATTTTTTGCATAAAAAAAACATATTTTGCAATAAAAACGAGATATTTTGCACTTTTTAGCATTAAAAAAAACACATGTTTTAAAACTAATTTTTTATTGACGTTTCATTACTAGGAAATTTTCATTAAAAATTGCAGAGTTATAATTTATAATAACATGCATTTTAAGATGCTCTGAAGCAAAATTATGAAATTATCAGTCAGCAATCGTTTGTATTTTGAAAAACTTCTTTCAATGTCTGTACTGGTAAGTGGAGCAAAAGTATAAGAAGCTAATAAATTTGGATCTTTTACAATGTCACTTATTTCATTTGAAAGGGAACCATTTACAACTGCTTCATTTATTGATTTCCTTAAATTTTTTTTCGTTAAATTTGCAATTTCTTGCAAAATAATCGAGTTTTGCATTATTTTGCACTATAAAATTTGGTTCCTGGAAGCGACAACTTACGGTTTACGCTGTCCTCAAATTTGGTACTTGTATTAATTCGCAAGATGAATTTACCAGTGCAAGGAAATCCGGTCTCTAGTAATAACCATTTACATCGATCACCGTTTATAGTGAGCTTCTTTCTCTGTGGGTTGTTTGGTAAGTGAGTATTTTTCGGTGTGAGCTTTTTTCTATATGAGTTTTTATCCGTGTGTGATTTTTTCACTGTGCGTTTCTTTCCTTGTGAGCTTTTTTCCGTGTGAGCTTTAGTCGACGTGGGCTTTTTTCTTTGTGAGCATTATTTCATGTGAGCTTTTTTCTTGTGGGCATTTATGTTTGTGGGCTTTTTTTGTGAGCTTTTTTCCTGTGGGCTTTTTTCTAGTCACCATTTTTTTCAAATGCAAAAACCATCGTATGTGACTCCTGTTTCCAGAATTTGGACTTCCGAGACACACCCTTAGAAGACGACGTTTCCAAGGTGTTGGACGTCGTCGTGGGGATTAGACGCCTGAAGAAACTCTTCGGAATCGCAGCCAGACACAAATCTGAGGGTATTAACCGTCTCAATTTTGGTTTTAATTTTCTCTTTAGTTTATTTATCGGGGGATGATGCGTTTTTTGCGCCTTTCCTCCCCGTCGTGGAGACCCTTGCCGCCTGCCCCTCTGTGGGGTTCACACCGCCCTCCCAGGGCACCGTCTGCGACCGAGTCGGCGACACCCTCATCCAGCTCGTCGTGCCGCCAGAATTACGCAAAGCCTTCGAATTAGATTTGCCGAAATTGGAGGAGAAAAAGGCGAAATTAGTCAAGGAATTGGGGAAAATGAATAAGATGATGTCGGGGGAGAACTACAAGGTCAAGGCTACCCCCGAAGCGCAGAAATCTCACGCCAAGAAGGTGACGATGAGTTTGGTGTTTCTCTCGCTGATTTTTTAGTTGCAGATTGCCGTGTTGGAGGAGAAGTTGTCCCGGATAAATTACATCCAAACTCTCGCGAAACAGTAATTGTAGCTTAATTTTGTACATTACGAAATAAATTGTTTCAATTTGGGGGTTGTTTCAATTTGGGGTGGGGTGTCAGAATCAGGGAGAGAAAAATAAATGTTATTAATTATTTTGTGGTAAGTACGAGTATATATACAGGATGTTCCGGCTAAACTTTACGTTAGAAGTATTGGGAGTTCTAACAGTGATATTTATCTAAAATTTTGACTATAGTCATAATCGTTTAGATTCTGCTCAATGAAAATATTTTCAAGATGGCAGCACTTCCGGTTACACCGGAAATGGGTATCAACTTTGTTATTTTCAATAGAAAGTTATGTTTTTTATTGCGTTTTTGGATTACTCAAGTGATTTTGAGAGAGTTTTAATCAGATTTCCCTATACCTAACTTTAACCGTTTTTGAGATATTTAGACTTTTTTGAATTCGTTTAATTTGCATTTTCCTCTTCAAAAATCGATAATTCTACCATTTTTAATTATTTTGAAATCATACTTGGGCATATGAAAAAGAAAGGTTAGATCTTTTCTTTCGTGTATTTATAATTGGAAAAATAATTAACAAACCTCCAAAATTAAAATCAGCACTTCCGGTTACACCGGAAATGGGTATCAACTTTGTTATTTTAAATAGAAAGTTATATTTTTTATTGCGTTTTTTTGATTTTGAGAGAGTTTTTATTAGATTTCCCTATATCTAAATTTAATCGTTTTCGAAATATTTAGCCTTTTTTACAGGGTGAATATAAAGTATGSAACCAAGCGGTTTTATTTTTAAACATTTGCCTCCAGAAAATAATAATTAATATAAATTAAAATAATATAAAAAACGTGATCGTATTTTCAGAACGAAATTTTGTTTTGTTTTTGAGTTATGCGATTTTTTTTTGTCAAAATTGCATTTATGTGAAAAAATTTTTTTGAAAAAATTAGATATAAAGCAGATAGTTGTAATCCTTAGAGTATAGCTTTTATGAGAAAAATGATTTTATAGTGGGTTGCCATTTAAAAAAATATTTTTTTTTGTAGAACTCAAAAACAAAAGGAAATTTTGAAAATTTTTATTCTTGTTAAAATATCACATTTTTATAGTACTTTATCACTCATTAATTAGTTTTATCAAAAAATAAATAGTTTAAGCAAAAAACGTTTGGTTCCATACTTTTTATTCACCTGGTATCTTTGATAGTTTTCAAGTTATAGTAACTTCTTTGGTATTGTGAGAAATTCATTAGCCATAGCTACTTTAGCACATGTTGTCATTGAAATAAGAAAAAATAGAATATCAAAGTTATTCAAATTTGGATTAAATAAATTTAATTTGTTATAACAACAAAATAACACAATCGTGAAAAAAAAACTTGGCGTTTTTTCAGTGAGAAATATTTTTATAGCAAACTATGCGAAAACTACCATGGATAGTAATGAATTTCTTCCATTGTAAAAAAAAGTTAAAATAACTTGGAAATTATTAAATTTAGGTATAGGGAAGTTTCCTAAACGTAACTTTAAATTTTTGGAGGTCTGTTAATTATTTTTCCAATTATAAATACACGAAAAAAAAAAGATCTAAGCTTTCTTTTTCATTTCATATACACGATTTCAAAATAATTAAAAATTGTAGTGTTATCGATTTTTGGAGAGGAAGATGCAAATTAAAAAAATCAAAAAAGTCGAAATATCTCAAAAATGGTTAAATTAGGTATAAGGAAATCTGATAAAAACTTTCTCAAAATCATTTGAGACTTTCTATTTAAAATACCAAAGTTGATACTCATTAGGGGCTCAAATTGTCGGAGGGAGTATTACAATTCCCGTAGGAATCGCCCTTGTATTCAAAGGAGTTTTCTTATTGTGAAACATTTCGTATTTAATCATTTTCTCGTCGTCTGAGAAGTTTAATGGGGATTTGTAGTCCTTATAGAAACTATATTTTGTTACAAGGGTACTCAATACTTTGAATTTTTCTACCAAAGAGGATTATGTAAGAACTTGCACAATAACTGCACTATTCAAGAAGTTGTAAACACTCAACTTGCGATTTTTACAAGTAAATCAAGGACCACTTTTAATCAGATAATCAAAATTTGATCGTGTAAATTGCGTCCTTTGTCGTTCTTTTTTCGGTGACGAAGGCCTCGTAATAAAATTTAAACCTTTTCATCCCTCTCTCGATTGATTTCTCGGCGGATTAAAGTGGAAAAGTATATGCAGGTTGAAACAATAGTTTATCTCTTGAGTGAAAAATCACATGAGATGGTGAAAAGTGTGCAGCGATGTCTTATTCAAAGCAGATGTTTGTCTTATCGCTCGATAAGCGTACAATGTGTCAGTTTTCAATGGGAAGCCATCAATCTTGTTTTGCATCAATGCATTAGATAACACGCGAAAAAGTTAAGCTTGACTGGTTTAAGGAGCTTCGAGACGCCTGTGCAATGAATCAATGTTTTGATTTAAAAAATAAAAATGTAATGTTCAATAGAGTTATCGCATCTTTTATTGCTTTAAATCAAACGTTTTTGTCTTCTATACTTTTTACTTTTATCTCAAATCTTCCAAATTCATACAAGGTGAACAAAAGGTGTGAAAACTGGCGTTTTGTTAATCATTGGTCTTCAACTAATATAAATGTTGAAAATGAATAAAAATAAACAAATAACAACTTATATGACTATTTCCCTCAGAAAATTTAAGCCACTAAAATCTTTCAAATTTCTGAGATTCATATAATTAGATTCAAATTACGCGATAATTCAGCTCGTGTGCAAATTATCGATAATCTGATTAGATGAATTTCAGAAACTTGAAAGATTTGATTGACACAAATAATTCTTTTGAGAAATTTTTTTGTGCACTTGATAAAATTATCGACAATTTGGCATGCACTTATTTTTTTTTGCTAAAAATTGAATAAATCGTAGATAACTGTAATTCTTAGACCAAAGCCTTTGCACAAAAAAGGTTTTATAGTGGGTTGCCATTGAAAAAATTAAAAATTTTGAAGAACAAAAAAGTACTTCGAAAAATGTCACTTCTGAGAAACGTCCACATATTTTAGAGTACTTACTTAATTTTTTTTGAAAAATATTTGTTATTCCGTTTTTATTTTTTATTTTTCAAAAAAGTGAACCGTTGACCGTTGAGTTGAGTTTTCAAATAATAATAATTTATGGACAAAACTTTTTTAAATTTGAATAACCAAAAAGAATTATGAAATAGCATTAAGGGAATAAGGGTCTTACAAAAGAATCTGAAGAAAAAGCTAAAGAATAATCTAGAGAGTAATTTCGAAAATTAGTTAACTACAAAAAAATAGAAAGAAATTTAGATAAAAATCTAGAATGAATTTAAAAATTGTAGCTTTTTTTATTGAAGGACTAAAAAAAATAAAGAAATTGGAAAAAAACATTTAAAAAAAAACAGGATTTAGAAAAGCATCTAAGTCAAAAGAATAATTTAGAAAGAAACATAAGTTACAGTAAATTATTGTAAATTTGGCGGCAAATGGGCCACAAACAATACTCTGGCAACGTTGACCATTAAAAGAGACCGTTGAAGAATTTAAAAGATATTAAAATAAACGGTAGATAATTGTAATCTTTAGAACACGGCTTTTGTACAAAAAATATTTTCTAGTGGGTTATTATTTAAAAAAATTAAAAACTTTGCAGAACTCCAAAACTATTTGAAAAATAATATTCTTGAGAAATGACTACATTTCGATAGTACTTTATCATTCAGTAATCAATTTTTTCAAAAAATGAATTACTTAATAATTTCAAAAATAAACCTTTATTCTTACCAAATTCAAAACAGCGATTTTGAGATTTCGAAAAATCTTAATTATGTACCTATCGCAAACTCGACAATAACTTAGAATAATTTTATGGCCCTCAAGATTTTTATCTTATGCCATTGTTTCCAATTTATGAAAAAACACAAATCACAATTGATTTTCAACTTTATGTATATATAAATAGCAACAAGATATTTAAAGAAATAAAAAAATTGATAGATAATCAAGTGTATAAGTCAAAAATCTTTAGATAATTATTTTTTTTTTAAATCTATTGTAAAAATTAAAAAATGTGTATCAGTACGACTATATAAAGTCAAGATTGCAAACTTTGCTCAGTCAACAATGAACGGTAAATGTTTTTTAAATTTGTTATTTTTTATTCTCACGTTCTGTTTTAGCTTTGTCTCAAGTTATAATTTTGGCACTTCTTGCCGTTTCGGCTTTTGCCGAAGAAATTGAAACCGGTAAGTCTCCATTATTGCTTTTTTTTCGTCTAAAACTTCTTATTAGATCCACTATGTGCTGGTGTTCCACCCGGCAAGGAATACTTTTTCCCATACCCTGGAGATTGTACTAAGTTCTATATTTGTAAGGATGGTGAAAAATACCTTGAACCTTGCCCAGATGGGAAATGGTTTAACGAGGCATTGCAATCCTGCGATTATCCTGATTCCTCTGGATGCCTTCGTAAGTCGTTTCAAAAGTTTCAGCAAAATTCTAATTTTTTCTTCAGCAATTACATGTCCTCCCGGCGTCGTCGATTACTACCCTTACCCTTCGGACTGCACCAAGTACATAGAATGCTACCGTGGCACAGCAAATGTGTCCTCATGTCCCGACAACTTCTGGTTCAACCGCGCCGAAAAACGGTGTACCAACCCTGAGGACTCGGGATGTGGGCAGTATTCCTCCTCTGTTCAACCAACTTGGAGTACCCCAAATCCCATTTGTTGGGGGGTACTCCCCCATGAAACAATCCTTAAACCGTACCCCGGGGACTGTAATAAATTTTATGAATGTGATGGTTCTACACAGAGCGAAAAGAACTGCCCATCTTATTTGTATTTCAACTATGCTAGACAGATGTGTGACTGGCCGGATGTGTCAGGATGCGATGGTACAAATTCTGGGTAGTACCATCAAAATACTAATCATTTTTGTAGATACTACTGAAACCCCAGATCCGTATAGTACCACTACTATAACACCCCCAACCACCCCTCATGGTAACGACGACCCTCGATGCGCTGATGGTAAGCATGATTATTGGCCAGACCCTGATTGTACCAGATACGTGGAGTGTTTAAATGGTGAAGGGTATGTTTGGTCCTGCCCATCTGGGCTATATTTTGACTCAGTTGATAAGAAATGTGAACCTCCTGGTCAAGCTGATTGCGGTAAGTTTGATGAAATTTTTACCATTTGTGGTTTCATGGGTCTTTCCAGGTCGTACTACACCAACACCTGACCCATGGACGACTACGAAATCCTCCGATTGGACCCCAGATCCCGATTGTCTTTTCCCCAGTGAAGTGAGGTATCTCTTCCCATATCCCGGAGATTGTACCAAATTTTTGGAATGTTGGGATGGAGAAAAAACGACACAAAATTGTCCCACTGGTCTTTGGTTTAATCCAGATTTGATGGTTTGTGATTATCCCTACCATTCTGGCTGTAAATACGCCAAGGAGGAGCAAGAATTGGAATAATTTTGTTTCTTAAATAAATAAATTATTACGTTGATTAAGCGTTTTTATTTCATTTTCTTACAATACAAAAACGGATCTATACAGTGTGTCCCAGCGAGTTGAAAAAGTCTATTAGTGACCTTTAAATGGTAAAATTTAAAAAAAAATTGTATAGGACATTGATAGATACTAATCTAGTGCATAACCTAAAATTATTTTCAAGCATACAGCATGTCCCAAAAATAAGTTACGATACAAACTTGTGTTTTTTTAAATGAAACACCGTGTATTTCTTTGTATTTTTGGATGTAACCTTTTTAAAAAATGTTTTTACGCTAAACTTTTATTAGTCGATTTAGCTTAGTTTTAGAAATAAGACGTTTTTTTTTTTATGAAAACATGCACTTTTTAAAAATTTATCACACAAAAACTAAGACACTAGAACAAATTAAAACAAAAGTACAAAATTTAAAGACGTACCAATTTTTTAGTGTTTTGCATTTGTAAAGATTAATAAATTAAGAAGTTTGTTAAAAATTATATAACTTAGAAATTTAAATGAAACACCCTATGTTTTATTTTTGCATCTAATAGATTGATAAATTGCCTATCTAAAAAAATAAACTTGTAATGTTTAGAATTGATAAATAAAAAGATACTTAACATTTAATATTAATTGTAACAACAATGCCTATCAATATCTGAACATTGTTGATACTATGGCAACGGATTACTTATCCGTTGATTAATCCAGAGATTGTAAAAGTCGTTATAAATACTGAAATTCGAATTATTTTATTGTAACAATAAAGAATAATTAATTCATTTTAACACAAATGTCATTATTAAGTGATATTTCTTTCATCTTTTGTGCAACTGTACACTTTTTGGCTCCTGAAACAATAGTAATTATTTTTTTTATGTTTAACGTTAAATATCTTTTTAGTTATTGATTATAAACACCTAAAAGTGAATAATTTTAGAAAGACAATTTGATAATCTTTTAAATGCAAAAACAATAAATAGAGTATTCCATTTAAATTTTTTAAGTTATTGAACTTTTAACAAACGCCTTCATTTTTTTATCTTTCCAAATGCAACACACTAAAAGAATGTTACAACTTTATAGTTTGTACTTTCTTCTTTGCGGTAGTAAAAAATATTTCTAGATGTTTTATTTTTTGTGTAATAGATTTTTAAAAAGTGCATGTTTTCGTCAAAAAAACCGCCTTATTTCTAAAATTAAGATAAATCGACCAATAAAATCGTCATAAAAATCTACATCCAAAGACGTTAAAAAACTTATGGTGTTCATTTAAAAAAACTTAAGTTTGTAAATAATTTTAGGCGAAACATTAGTATCGATCAATGTCCTATATATATTTTTTTAAATTTTGCTATTTAAAGGTCACTAATGGACTTTTTCAACTAGCTGGAACATCCTGTATTTAATAAGAAAAATATAAAAAAAAATTGATTAGAAAGTCAGAACTCAAAAAAAAAGTTAGAAAACACTTCTTTTAGCTTTAGCTATCTAACCACAAAAACACATTTTGTAATATTTGGCTTAGAACCAAGTGATTCTTTGCGTGATTCTTTCTGATGTTTCATTAAAAAAATTAAAAAAAAATTTGCTTGTCCTGTTAGTCTTTTATTAACGCGAACATTTCTTGTGATTTTCCAGACAAATCTGGATGAAGGTTTTTAGGTTTTTTTTTCTTTTATTTTTTTTCTTTCTTTTTTTGTCGTTGATACAAAGCGAGAATTGTGCGTTTTTCCAGAAACTGTAGATTATGCTGTACTGGAAATTGGTAAAACATTTTGCAAACCATTTTCAGACTACATAAAAACTCCAGATTTTTGGATTTCTACCAAATTTTGTTCAAAACTTTAATTTGTGACGCTTACAACTCCCACCTCCGAGTGTTGTACTTCAATAGCGACCAAGGGGAGTGTACAACTCCCACCAAATCAGACTGTGGTCAACCCGATTCTCCTTCCCCTACCACCAGCAAGGGACCCACCCATTGGGCACCAGACCCAGATTGCCGCCCATGGCGGTGATTAAACACAATTATTCTGGGAATGGGGCAAAATATAAAAATTGTTGTGGTTATCATGAAATAAACAAATACCAAAAACATTGTTTTATCACTGAGTTGAAAGAAGTCGACAAGTACCTTCATTTGTTTTGATTAGATTATGATTCAAGTCTTTTAATCCTACTTAATCCCCCACTTGAAAGAAAATGAATCTAAAGTCTAAGAATTTCTCGTCTATTTATCTACATAGTGAATGATGTAAAGTTTTGGTATAAAAGTAAGGTTTTTAGTGACGTCTTCCAGTTTAGATTGAGCCAAAATGAAAAGTGTAGTGATCACAATTGTTGCTTTGGCACTTGGAGCTCGAGCCGAAGGTAATTCTCTTCTATTGTTACCACAGAAAAAAAAAATTTTGTAGACCCTCTCTGTGCGGGTCTTCCCAGGGACACGGAAATACTTTTCCCATCACCAATCGATTGCAGTATTTATTACAAATGTTACAATGGAAATTTTTCGGAGCAGAAGTGTCCCCAAGACTTGTATTTCAGCGAATTTAACAACAGATGTGTGGAGGCGCAATACTCGGAATGTATGGGGGGTACTGGAACGCCGCCTCCCCCCACCTCATCCACTACAACTTCCACGACAGTGCCCCCAACTGAAACTCCAGGTGAATCACAATTTCCCGGTTTGTTGTTTTATCATAATTTTAGATCCTGTGGACCCCCGATGTGTTGACAATGAGACATCCTATTGGCCCCACGTGAGCGTCTGCCACCTGTATGTCGAATGCTACGAGGGCAAATCATACGAAGTGACTTGCCCCTCAAACACCTATTTCTCCGACCAACACAAGAAGTGTGTTCTTGCAAGCGAATCCGAATGCTGTATCAATGATCCTTCACAATGCACATAAATAAAATGTATACTCTTAGTTGCTTTTCTTTTTTTTTCTATTCTTTCAAGTTTTGTCAATAAATATCCACTCAACTGTTGGCTTAAGATGGATTTCCTCTTTCCGGTCAGTTTTGTTTTTATGATTTATTGCAATTTTATCGAAATCTTACTATAAATCGCTCCAAGGAAATTGTATCGAGTCGGAGTCGGAGTAATAAATTTATGGAGGTTGTTGTGGATTTGGGTGAGGAATTCGCCTCCAATAAGTCTTAATTCCGAGGGAGACTACGCCGAGACCTGTTCCGAGTTGATTACGAACAAATAAGGAAGGATTTAGGAGCGACGTTCGGAATTAGAAGTCGTTGCTTGTTTCATACTGTTACATTTTTTTCTCTGTTTTTCTTGTACCTAACACAGGGCCGCAACCAGGATTTTATTTCTTGTTGGTCCATGAAAATGAAATGAAAGAAGGCGGATTAAAAAGCAAAAATCTCTAAGTACACGTTTTTATTTTAAATTGAAATAAGAGATCCTAATTAAACATAAAAAATACAAATTAACTCACAAAAGTAACAAAAAATAAAATAATTTTTTAATACTTTTTATTGTTACAAATTTAAACAGGAGATAGAATATTTATTTAAAAAAAAAATTCTATGAACATACTATATCGAAAACTGCTATGCAAGGGGTGCGTCTTTTAATAGTTTTTTTTTCCATATTTCCGAAATCATTTTAGAAAAAAATTTCAAAGTTTGGTAGGCACAGATGATAACTTTTATACACCTAAACAAGTACAAAAATAAAAATGTTTGAAATTTTTAATTAGGGGCTTCCTAAACTAGATGGAATTAGGGTAAAAATTTACTCTAACTATATTGCCTGTGGTTTCTTGCCACTTTCGGCAACAAAATTTCATAGTTTTTCATAAAAAAGGTCTTTTGTGTTTTTCCGATACAATTTACGTATTTTTAGTAAAAATCAGTTTAAAAATTTGTTACAGACCACAAACAGCATAAAAGTTAAAAAATAAATTTGTTTTACCGTTTAGGACGTCCCTAATTAAAAATTTTGTTATTTGGCATTTGTTTAGGTGTACATATAAAGGTACCAAATTTTGTAATTTTATCTATTCTGAAATATTAGGAAAAACCCTTTAAAAAACGTACCTTTTTTAGGGGGTGTAGCTCCCTTTCATACCATTTTTCGAAACACTTTTGTTTTAAAATTAAATATTCTATCAACTATTTTAATTTGTACCTAACAATAAAAATGAAACATTGTATAATTAACACCTGAAAAATTAAGTCACAAAAATTTAAAATTAACTCACTAAAATAACAAAAAACTAAATTTTTAACACTTATAACACTATATAACAAAGTGCTCAGCATTTCGAGGGGGACTTGAACCCCCTAATCCCCCCCTTGGGTACGGCCCTGACCTAACATAATAAATATTGCGGTTGGTGGTTTTAACAACAATAAACAAGTTTGTAACTAATTATTCCTCTCGTGTGGATCAATAAAAAATGCTTAATCAGAAGCCAAGATTTGTTGAAATTGCCCGTTTTACAACCGCGACATTAATCGCGGATTAGCCAACCCCAGTCGAGTAATTTTTCCACTAAAACTTTAATAGTAAAACTAGATATTTGCTCCGTTCGGAAATTTAATTAAGTTTTACTGGCACAATAGAAACTTCCGTTATAGCCGACATAAAATTAAACAGATTTCATATTGCTATCAAGTTGATTTTATTAAATTCGCTAACATTGAGAACTGGTTTTGCAACAGTCGGATTCTTCGGCGTTGACACATTTCTTGTGACTGGATGAAAAGTAGAGACCTGGAGGGCAGGTCATTTCGTATGAATTGCCATGGAAGCATTCGACGTATTTGGCACAAGTGGCGGGATGGGGCCACAACTGGGTGCTGTCGTCGATGCAACGGGGGTCGGGGTTGGGGTCAGGATTCGCTAAAAAAAGTTTCAGAAAATTTCACCTACAATTTGCAAAAACATACGTGAAGGAGTCGGTTCTGAAAAGAAAACTATTTATTGAGATTTTAAGTTAAGATTTGGTTGTTACCCGGAGTCGGAGTCGTTATTGTTGTTGTTGGTGTTGGTGTTGGTGTTGGTGTTGGTGTTGATGTTGGTGTTGTCGTTGTTGTTGTTGTCGTTGTCGTTGGTGTTGGTGTTGGTGTTGGTGTTGTTGGTGTTGTCGTTGTTGGTGTTGTCGTTGTTGGTGTTGTTGTATTTTCCTGGCAGTAACTCCCTGGATAATCGCAATCGTTTATGGCTGGGTGCCACCAAAGCCCCTCCGGGCAATGAAGCAGCATACCAACTTCGTTGTAACACTCTATATATTTATTGCAATCACCCGGTACGGGAATAAAGGTGATTTGACTGGGATCTTGATCTTTACATGCTTGAGCTATTTGTTTGTTATAAAAATTTGCAAATGTTTTATTAAAAAAACTTACTTATGTCATCTCGAATTGTTGCTCTTGGTGTCACAACTAGAAAATAAAATTGTTTAAATTATTTGAGTCGGTTTAACCTACCTGTGACGTAGTATAAGAGTGCAAAAGTCGTTATGATAGCTTTCATTTTTGGTGGAGAAAATGCGAAAATTTTGATCAGTTGTGATTTATATAAGTCTTCTCGTTTGTTTATTTAAAAGGATTAAAATGATAGTAATGTGGTTAAGTGGATAACAATGGATAAGGATTGATGGGTGATTGAGAATGTTCAAAGATTACGTTTACTGAAAGTGTAAAAGTGACGTCTTAAATGTAAATTTCCTATTCATTGATACATCCTAAAGAGCCACAATCAGAGTATCTTATCTTTTTTTTTGATTGATTGATTGACAGAACTACTACTTCCATCAACCACTCTTTTACATTCCTACAAAAAGGACGTCTGAGAGACAAACTACTCACATTTATAAAAAAATAAGGTTTAGAATGAGGCAAAATGTTGAAATTTTGTCTCTGCTGGCGATATTTTCAGTCCGACCCTTGCGACAAAGTCATTAGATACCCTTATTATGGAAATTGTTCTCTCTACTGGGAGTGTTACAAAAGGACGAAATTTCTCCTGACGTGTCTACAGGGGCTCGAATTCGACGCCAGGACGAGTCGGTGTGAAGCACCGGAAACGGCCAACTCGACCCTTGCAAGACTTAGAAAATATTCTATTCATTTATACTCGTACAGAGAAAAATGTAAGGTAAGATACCAAGAACATGAAAAAAAATTAAAAAATTTCTATCTATAAATATTTCGAAATTATGAAAGTTTAAATTTTGCACTTTGACTCTATTTTTGTTAGAAAAATAATTTTGCAAGTTTTTTTGCTACAGGGTATTAGAAGAGGAAACAAGGAACCTGTATCCTAAATTGAAACTCTGTTTAATGTTATTTGTGGCTTTTATTAGCAAAATTTTTGTAGATATACTAAATAATTATAAAAAAATATATACCTACAAGATCATCAGTATCATTAAATAGGCATAAAAAATGTTGAATGTCAAAAAATAAATGTCTATTTTTTGACAGATTTATATAAAAAAATATTTTTAAACATTTTTTCCATGTTTCTTGTATTTATCTCTGGGTTGCGAGTTCTTGCACACCCTGTATCGAAAATTTTCCAGTTTTCAGTTCCAAACTCAAAGAATTTAGTTCTAACTTAGAATTCAATGGAATAAAATTGGAATTTAGTAAAAAAATTTCTAGTTATGATTTTCAAACTCAAATAACTTAATTCTGGTTTAGAATCCAAAAAAATTTACAGTTTTGACTTCCAAACTCAAAAAATTTAATTATATTTTGAAATCCAGTAGAATAAAATTAAAATTTAGTAGAAAATTTTCTAGTTTAATTTCAAACTCAAATAATTTAGTTCTAGTTTAGAATTCAATAGAGGAAATTTGAAATTAAGTAGAAAAATTCCCAGTTTTGACTTCTAAATTCGAAGAATTTAGTTTTAATCTAAATTAAAATTCAGAAAAAGAAAATTTGAATTTAGTAGAAAATCTTCCAGCTTCGATTTTCAAAACTCGAAGAATTTAGTTCTAATTTAGAATTTAGTAGAAGAAAATTGGTTTTAATAAAAAAATCCTCCCTTTTGATTTCTAAACTCGAAGAATTTAGTTTTAAATTTTAATTTAGAATAGAAAAAAAAATGAAATTTAGTAGATTTTCGAATATTGGTGTTTGGAAAAACATGAAAAATTTAGGTATAATTTATTAAAATTCAGTAGAAAAATATTGAAATTTAGTGGATTTTTTTAGTTTTGGTCTAAAATCTTGAAGAATTGTCAAAAACAGTTTTGACAATTTCGATTTTCAGTTTTCGATTGTTATTTTTTCGGATTTAACAATCCGTTTTTCAAAAAACTTAGGATTTTTAACCTTCGAACCAAGTAAATTTATGCCAAAAATACGTTCAAGTGGTTTATCTTATCAATTTTGTGTTTTTTTCTCTAGTGTTATATCATCAAATCTTTCGTGTTTTATTACAAAAATCAGATATTTTAATCATCCTTGAATAACTAATTCGCTTAAAGTACCCCTATTTATTCAAATATAAAACAATAAAAAAAATTCAAAAAATAAACTATACATATATTAATGATGATACGAGTAGTGATGTTTTCACTTGTCTTTTGCTTTCAAAATATTCTAATAAGGTGGAAAAACCTAGATAAGATCTTATCGTTTCGATGGATCTAAAAATAAAATTTTCTGAAGACAAATTCATGTCCCAATATCACAAAACAACTCATATCGGTATCTATAAAAGTCAGCAAATAAAAAAAAAATGCAGTCCATCATGAAGAATCAAATCTTCAGCTTGTGTTTGTTTCTTATTGCCCTTTCCTGTGCTCGTAAGTACCCCAATTACGCCGCTTCTCTTCTAAACTTGCATTTAGAGGCACGACAGGTGGCTGTCGCTACCCCCGACCCCGGTCCCGAGTGCCCCTCCCCCTCCAGTGATATTATTTATTTCCCTTACGAGGGGGATTGCACCAAGTACTGGGAATGCTACGCGGGACACAGTTACCTTTACTCGTGTCCTGAGGGACTTTGGTGGCACCAGGAAATCAGCGAATGTGATTATCCGGGAGATTTCTGCACGGATGGGACAAGTAAGTCGAGGTTTTTGTTTATGGGCAAGGATTGAGAGTTTTTTAGCCGCGACGGGTTGGACTTCAACATCTACGAGGTCAACTTCGAGTGGGTCAAGTACCACGCAAGGCGATTTGCCGGATTGTACCGGGACTGGGGATGATCCCGTCTACTATCCCTATCCCGGGGATTGTACTAAGTACTACGAGTGTGCTAATGGCAGGTTGTACACGTATAATTGTCCACCGGATTTGTGGTGGCACCAGGAAATAAGTGAGTGTGACTATCCGGGAGATTTTTGCGTTCCTGATACACGACGCAAGTGAAAAAAAATATTTCCAATAAATGAATTATAATTTCTAGTAATATCAATAAAACTTTTGTTTATTTAAGTGTTTTTGTGGTAACAACACTACAAGATTGATAAGGTGAGATAAGTTTTATTTCTAAGCCAAAGTATAGTAAAACAATTTTAAATGGCAATAGAAATAACTGAAAAAATACTGTCAAAAGAAGAATTTTCAATTCGAAATTATAGTGAAAATTTTAAATTTTTAAAATTGTCTTCCAAAACTTGTAATCAATTGTATGATCAGTTTTTGTAGGAAGAAAATGAAATTATGCACCTACAATCTCAAGCAATTTTTTTGAACTTGACCGTTTGGAACAATTTGCAACAGATAATAAGTACATTCACAATAAGTGATAAGATTTTAAATCAGTCAATTAGTACATGAAATACCACTTTCTGGTGTTATTTTTTTGATAAACTCGTAACTAAAATCTACAAAACTTGTTAAAAACAATATTAAAAATTGAAATGCTTTACAAAATAAAATTCTGTGCTCACACAGAGTAGTAGAAAAATTGTGAACGGAGAAAATAATACAGGTTGCGCCAGAACTCGCGCCCCAGAGAAAAATGCCATATAACGTAAGATATCAGGAACATGGAAAAAATGTTAAAAAAATTTTATCTATAAAAATTTCGAAGTTAAGAGAGTTTAAAGTTTGCACTTTGACTCTATTTATTTCTGTTGGAAAAATAATTTTCCAAGTTTTTTTGCTATAGGCAATTAAAAGGAGAAACAGGGAAGCTGTATGCTAAGTTGTAACTCTGTTCAATGTTATTTGTGGCTTTTATTGGCAACATTTTTGTCCCTTTACTAAATAATTGTAAAAAAAACATATACAAGATCATCAGTATCATTAAATAGATATAAAAGAATGTCAAAAGTCAGAAAATATATGTCAAAATTTTTTGACAGATAGAGTTTTTTTAAACATTTTTTCATGTTCCTGGTATCTTACATTACTTGAAAATTTTCTCTGGGGCGCGAGTTCTGGCGCACCCTGTATAATTAAAAGACGTTTTTTTTTGGAGTCAAATTTACAAGCAAAGAAAATTTTTTTGACAAGCATTCCAGCAGTTTTCAAATAGAATGAAAAAATCCACTAAAAACGTACTACTTTGAGGGGGAGTAGGCTCCCTTACATAGTATTTTTTGATACATGTTTATAGGAAACTTTTGTCTTAAAATGGAATAATCTGTCACCTGTTTAAATTTGTTACAATAAAAACGATACATCCTATATTAAGATATCAGCAAAATTTTACTTGTGACTTTTCTGTAGATTATCGCGTTGACTAAATTGATAGAGCAAAAATTGTTATTGTTTGGTAAATATAGGTTCTATAAATAAAATTAAATAAAAATAATAATAAGAAAAAAAATTTTTAATCGTCCTTGAATAACTAATTCACTTGAATTACCCCTATTTTTCACTTATTTGAATATGAAACAATGGAAAGATGCAAATTTTTCAAAAAATAAACTATAATAGTTAGATAMGTAAATTATAATGATTATACGAGTATTGATGTTTTTATTAGTCTTTTACGTTCAAAATATTCTAATGACGTAGAAAAACCTCGATAAGATCTTATCGTTTCGATGAATTCAAAAATAAAATCTCCCGAAGTCAAATTCATGTTCCAATATCACAAAAAAAATCATATCGGTATCTATAAAAGTCAGCAGTTTGGCGAAAACGTCAGTGCATCATGAAGAATCAAATCTGCATCTTGTCTTTGGTCCTTATTGCCCTTTCCTGTGCCCGTAAGTACCCCAATTGCACCGCTTCTCTTCTAAACTAGCATTTAGAGGCACGACGGGTGGCTGTCGCTACCCCCGACCCCGGTCCCGACTGCCCCTCCAGTGGGAACACTTTTATTCCTTACAAGGGGGATTGTAACAAGTACTGGGAGTGCTTCAACGGAAAGAGCATGCTTCACTCGTGTCCAGACGGACTTTGGTTTCACCCGGAGCTCCAAACATGTGACTTACCGGGAGATTTTTGCGTTCCTGATACACGACGCAAGTGAAAATGTGTTCTTGTCACAAAAATATTTCCAATAAATGAATTGTAACTTCTAGTAATATCAATAAAACTTTTGTTTATTTAAGTGTTTTTGTGGTAACAATAATGGAACAAGATCGATAAAGTAAGATAAATTTCATTTCGGGGCCAAAGTGTTGTAAAAAATATTTTAAAATGGCAGTAGGAATGACGTAAAAAAGTATGTATTGTAGTAAAAATTTTATTTTTTTTAAATTGTTTTCCAAAACATGTAACCAATTTGCAACAGATAATAAGTACATTTACAATAAGTGATAAGATTTTAAATCAGTTAGTTATCAATTAGTGAAAAAAATATGAATCACACCACTTGTGTGATTTTTTTAATATACTCGTAAATAAAATTTACAAAATTTGTTGCATATTTAAATTTAAATTAAAAATTTCTCCTGGTGTTGAAAACTATATTAAATAAAATTGGAGTATTTTAGAAAATATGTATAATTTTGTGCTCACACAGTGTAGTGGAAAAATGGTGAACGGAGGAAATAATATTTAATCACAATTAAGTAAAATAAAATTTACAAGCCAAGAATTTTTTTTTTTGAAAAGCATTCCAGCAGTTTTCAAACTGAGTGAAAAACTGGAAAAATCCATTAAAAAGACACCACTTTGAGTGGTATTTTTCGAATCATGTTTATAGGAGACTTTTGTCTTAAAATTGAATATTCTATAACATGTTTAAATTTGTAACAATAAAAACGAAACACCCTATATATTACAATAACAGTAAAATTTTACAGGTGACTTTTCTGTAGATTATCGCGTTGACTGAGCTGATAGAGCACAAATTGTTATTGTTTGGTAAATATAGGTTCTATAAATAAAATTAAATAAAAAATAATAAGTAAAAAAAAATAAAAAACAAAAAATCGCCATAAACTTATAGTCTTCTTTATTCAAAAAGTCTACAAGAAAAGCAAAATTATCAGATATCTAGCTCCTATGGTTTGAATGGCAACCAAAGAAGAAAATTAATTTTTATGCATTTGAACATTATAAAAAAAAATCTTTTTAATTTCACATTTTTATTAATTAAATTAGAACGTCAAGTTTGTCAATACCTAAAAACGAAAATATTTCATAATCGTAGATAAAGTATAGTATTCTACTCTTACGAGTATATATTCCCTCAGGCGATTAATAAACTCGTCTACGACTCGTTTTTTAAACTTAATTTTGTAAATAATAACCATCATAGCTCGTTGAATAATATACAATTTTGGACAAAATTAGCAAAAACACCGATTTACAAATTAAAATTAGGTACCATTAATTCGAATAAGAAGAAGTCACTATATAAATATGCCCACTTGTGTATTATCTTTACAAGTTTCATCCTGGTGTTAGTGAAAAAACAAAATTGATAAAACTTCCCCTGTACTACACCAAAATGTTTGTTCTCTAATTTTTAAATAACGAAATAGGTGCAAGAGAAAGTAATATGGCTATTGTCGTCCAAACGGTTTTGCCATTTTTGGCAATTTGTAAACATTTGGTGTTAATGTAAACATATTTATATTAAACGAAAATGTTGTTGAAGCAAAGTCGACATCAACTAGTAATGTAACTGTTACAACTCCGTTTAGTAACTTTACCAACAGTGGTGAGTAATTAAAAAATAATAATAGAAACCATATGTGTAATTATATTTTATAGATAACACACCAATTTGGCCAATTACAAGCACACCAGCATCAGATAATGTAACTTTTACAACTCCATTTAATAACTTTACCGCTAGTGGTAAGAAATTACAAAGACACAATTCAATAGAACGTGTAATAATTTTTTTAGGTGACACAACATTTTGGACAACTACAAGCACTGCAACACCTGATAATATAACCGTTACAACGCATTTAATAACTTTACCGACAGTGGCAAGTTATTACAAAAGTACAGATAATTAGAACGTGTAACAATT